ACAAATTATGTGCATAAAAACCCACCATGTAATTGTGGAGATTATATTGTCCTTATTGTGAGACTCTTACAGAACTACTTACTATTCCGAGAATGACATAATTCAGGGATGGATGAGGAGTATGCCCTCTACCCTATCCTGTATAAACAGACCCACAGGGTTCTGAGTGCTCTGGGGATTTCTTTAAGACCTGTTGTTCACATGGGATAACAGAATCGTCCACTAAGCATTCCTTAGCTGTGTTGGCCTGAACTACCCAGAGCCAAGGCTCTAGCTCCAGGTTTTTAGGTTCTGTGCCCTTTATCAAGACTGAGCTCTGCTTCATGCTCCCTAAACCTCTCCCCAACCAACTCCTCTAGTCTTTCTGGTCTTACTTTGGACAAAAAGAAGTGTGTATCACAGTTCACTCTCCAAGGACGTCTTCCTCAGAAATTGTTACTCTATCCAGAACAATAATTAGTACTAGTCCCCAGTAATGGAACCTTCTTGCTAGGGTAGTTGTGCTTGCTACCTGGTCTTAGGTTGAAGCCTTAACCTCTGTATCTCAGAACATGATTGTATTTGAAGACAGGATCTTTAGTAGAAAGATATCTGAGATTAAGTGAAGTTTTGATGATAGGTTCCAATTCAATCTAATTTGTGTTTTTGTAAGAGGAACTATGAACATACAAAATATTACAAATATGTGAACATAGTGAGAAAGTGGCAGACACAAATGAAAAGAACCCTCAGGTCCAGCCAAGCCTTTACCTAGGTCCTCAGAAATATGGGAAAATACATTTCTGTTGCTTAAGCCTATTTGTGGCATTTTTGATGTGGTGACCTAACAGGTAACACATTTCCCCAGAGCCATTTTCCATTCCCAGATGTGGGGATCTGACATTATCATTGAGGCAGACTGGGGTGGGGTGATGCCTGGAGTCTAAGTTCTGGGACATGACAGGTAAAGAACAAAACCAAGACGCAGGGTGGCTGAAGCTTGAGCAAGGGGCAATGAACATGACACTTTCCCTTATCAGGAGTAGGTGATCTCTGACAACCTGTACCCTGTTCAGACTTTTAGACTGTTCACATGAACTTTATTATTCAACAAATAATGTGATGTGGATCACGGCATGGTTAGATGAGACTCAGTGTACATTTAGCTCACTTGACGTTTTCTGACCACTTTCTATCTTGTTTTTCAGATGTACTGGGTGGGGGGGTGGTGACAACCTACTTTCACATGGAGATTAAGAATTGCTGTGATTGGAGAAAGTAGGAAAGGGAAAGAACAGATATTCTCAATGGCTAACTTTGGTTAAGATTTCAAGTATCTTCTCTATGTTCCTGACAAGTCTTCAGTTGTCCTGAAAAAAAAAAAAAACATCCAGGCTAACTGATGTGGTAGCACATACCTTTGATCCCAGCACTCAGAAGGCCAAAGCAGGAGCATCTCTATCAGTTCAAGGCCAACACGATCTACAAAGGAGTTCTAGGACATCTAAGGCTGTTACACAGAGAAACCCTGTCTCAAAAAAATCAAAACCCATCCAGGGCTATAGCTTCAGCTTTAGAAAATTTCTTACAGTTTCCTTTCAATTAACCATCTCTAGTTCAACTGTCCAGACTTACACTGAATCTCTGGGAATTCTGCTCCTGGCCTAGCTCCAAGCATATGAATGTATGAAAAGTTTGCTTGAACAGCTCTTTTGGTCCCAGTTTTTTGGATGCTAAGGAATCCCTGACTGAACATGATGTCCCACTCGGGCCAAAGGTGCAGTACCTCAGGCTACTGGTTGCGTAGGCCAGCTCAGAGGTACTGAAACCAACCACCAGACCACAGTATTGTTAATGAAACCACAGATTCTCCTACGCTTTTCCTCTGAACCAGTGTGCACATATTCTCATCCCTACCACTATGACCTGAACCAAATGTTCAAATGCCAGAGTCTCATGAACAAAAAGGACCATTGGTGGCCACTGTAAGCACCAGCTAAGTGGCTCCAATGTCAGAGAACCGGAGTTGGATGAGTTATGTTCTTAGGATGATACAGACACCAGTTAATTCTAGTGACTCATCAAAAAGTAACTAAAAAGTAGGAAGTATTTTTCCATGTATAGACCCACAGAAACATCCCAATTTCTACCCCACAGTAACTGCTCAAATTGAAGTTCAAATGCTGCTTGAAAGGAGCAGGAACACAATAGCCCCTAGGTGATCAGATATCAACATGGCCACAGACAACTGTCCTCTACTCATAGGTACCTCTGAGTTTACAGACCCTATATATGGCCCGTTCTGCTGCCAGGGGATGCTTGCAGTGAATGTGACTCCTAACTCTTGAGTTCTACCAGTGGTTTCCACCATGAGATCACAGATCAACACTCTTCCTCTAGCTCACATTGATACACTCCAGTCTTGAGTTATCTATATCTTGCTTTTGAAATCTCCAGAAATCAGAGGTGACTTATCATCTAACCCTGCCTTGTAAAGAAAGGGAAGCCAGGACTAGGGGCTGACATTTCTTGAGTACCCTGTTCTGAAGACAGCAGATCTCCAGTCTCAAGGACCAACATAGGTCAAGGCCACCAGATATTATCTTTTTTTAAATTATATTTTATTTATTAAATTTAAAAATAAATACCAATCCCAGTTCCCTCTCCTTCCTGTCCTCCATTCCCCCCACTATCCCTCCCTGGCCCCAGAAAGGGCAAGGTCTCCCATGGGGAACACCAAAGTCTGTCACATCATTTGGGGCAGGATCCAGCCCCACCCCCACCCCTGTATTTAGTTATCTAGGATGAGCAAGGTGTCCCTCCATAAGGAATGGGTTCCAAAAAGCCAACTCATGCACTAGGGATAAATAGTGGTCCCACAGCCAGCGGCCCCAAAAACTGCCCAAAGTCCTGCAACTGTCACCCTCATTCAAGGGGCCTAATTTGGTCCTATGCAAGTTCCCCAGCTGTCAGTCCAGAGCCAGTGAGCTCCCATGTGCTCGGATCATCTGTTTCTGTGGGTTTCTCCATCATGGTCTTGACCCCTTTGCTCATATAAATGCTCCTTTCTCTCTTCATCTGGACTCCAGGAGCTCAGCCTAGTGCTTAGCTGTGGATCTCTGCATCTGCCTCCATCAGTTACTGCATGATGGCTGTACGATAGCAATTAAGGTAGTCATCAATCTAATTCTAGGGGAAGGGCAGTTAAGTTACTCTCTCACTATTGTTTAGATTCTTCTCTTTGTTGGAGTCATCTTTGTGAATTCCCAGGAATTTCCCTAGTTCCAGGTTTCTCATTAACCCCATAATGGTTTCATCTATCAAGGTATCTTTTTCCTTGCTCTCCCTCTCTGTCCCTCCCCCAACTAGACCTTCCTGATCCCTCATGTTCTCCCCCCTTCTTCCCTTACCTCTCTCCCCTTCCTCCCACACTTCCAATTTATTCAGGAGAGCTTATCTATTTCCCCTTCTAGGAGGTGGGGGGGGGGGAATCCACATATGTGTCTCTTAGGGTCCTCCTTGTTTCCTGGCTTCTCTAGGGTTGTGGACTGTAGGCAGGTTATCCTTTCAAGCAGTACCTTTTATATCACCTTAAAGAACCGGGCTAAACACTTGGCTCTTAGCCATTCAGGTATCCCAACCCCAGCCCTAAGGACAAAGAAACCTGAGACATTTCCAAATTCTAAAGCAACTGTAAAAATAAATTACACACACACACACACACACACACACACACACACACACACACACACACACACACAACATTGCAGGACTGCATACTTTACCTATGTTCTTATAAAATAAACAATTCTCTAAAGAAATGAAGTGGTGTACAGAGAAGAACACTACACAATAGCATATAAACCCTGTTTCCTAAAGCTATAGTCTTTTCAGATCCTTTTAATGAAAGGAGGCTGAGAGTCAGCACTGTGCTGATCTCCAGGATGCTAACAATCCTGGCCCATAACTAGTATTCTGCATTTCAACAGAACAGAACTGGGTGTCACAGAGTGAGAGGGCCAGGGGCAGCATTTTGATCCAGAAGGTTACAACACTAAAAGTACAAACCTGTGGCTCAACATCCTTCCCTTGCATCCACAGCAGCAAGCAGATGGCAGAGGAATTATCCTTGCCTGGGACCACAAGGCCTACAGCTGAGAGAGGCTGTAAGTAGATTAAGCCCTGATCCTCTCTGCCCCTAAAAGCCTCTGACCCATTTCTCTGTCTGGAAAAAAAACCACTGCGGTAAGTCAAACAAGCAGAGGGGCAGAGCGAGACTCTGATCAACATAGGCAATATCAACAAGTGCTGTTTTTCTGGAGGAGACAGCAGTGGGAACACTGAAGAGTGACAGAAGGAATTGTTATAAGTGCATTAATAGGAAATTACGTGGCTTACGGATCAACCACATGTTCTTTTCTTTTATGAAACTAGGCTATCGCCCTGCCCCCATCCCCAGCCTGGGAGCCAACAGGACAACTTCTCACAGCCTAGTGCTACCACGCTAGATACACTAAGTTGTTCTACAGGTGTTTCCAGACTTTACCGCAGAGCTACCCTGAGATCCTGCACCTGAACACAAGGACAGTGGGTAATAAGATCATCGAGGGCAAAGAAAGGAACAAACTGTCCTCCCTGGATGGAAGGGGCACCAGGAGTCTTGCAAAGAGGAGGAGTTGGCTTTCCTGAAGACTAAGCCCCAGTGCCCGCGAGAACTCTGGAGTTTAGCTCCCATGCCAGAGGTTTCTGGTGTACTGATGAAGCTCCGCCTCACAGGGTGGCCCCTCCGCGGGCTCAGGTTTTGGAACAGTGTTGAAGGTCTTTCCAGCCGACCCCACAGACAGCCCGGATACTGGAGCCAGCCCCGCTGGCCAGAGGGTTCTCCCGAGGCGGCGGGCGCCCTGGGTGGGAGGGGACAGCCTCGGCAACAGGTGACTACCTACGCCCCTGAGACACCTCCGCGCCGGGATCAGAGCGGCCCCAGTGTACCCGAAGTCTCTCCGGCCGCCCTGGGCACTTACACGCTCGTGGGTCCACCGCCGGGCAGAAACGAAACTTTCTAGGGCCGAGCGGAAGAGTAGGAGAGCTCAGCGCCAGCGGCCATGAAGCGCACAGAACACAAAGTGCGCGCGGACTACGACTCCCGGCATGCTCCACAGATGGCCTACAACTCCCATCGGGTGACTCGGACCGGTGGACACAGACTACGACTCCCGGCATGCTTTGGAGTAACCTGAACAAGTTTGCATACCCAGAGCAGGGCCTGGAGTCGTCTGTCTGAACTCCTGAGCTAGTGTTGTTGGCTACTTGCTGTTAAGCACTTGCAGTGTGGCTGATTGACTTTGAACCGTGAATAAGCTGCAAATATAAAATAATGTACCTGATTCAAAAATCCCCCAATGTAAAAAATAGCTCATTAATAGTTTTGTGCTATTTTTACTTATTGAACTAAAAAAATGAAATCACTACATATTGCTTGATCTAAGTTCTCAGTTTTTGATTCTTCTCATTAACAGAGACACAGAATCAGTCAGTGTTTGAAATGATGTGTTAATGATCTACCTGCCATGCTTAGCCTCCTCGGCCCTGTGTTTTTGCTTGTTGTTGCACTAAAAAGCACCCTGAAGCCTGATGCAATAGAATGCTGCATTCCAAGACTAGTATTGATGAGCATGCTAAAGAAAAGGGAGGGTACATAAGATGCCAGCTTGTCACTAGGTTGTGTTCCTTAGCTCTGGCTGGCCACTCCTCACCCTGCCTTACTTTTTACCATTTTAGCTAGACATTCCTGTCTGCCTCACAGAACTTAGCAAACTAGTGGCATCTGCCAGATCTCAGGATTTCAGGTTTTCAGAACAGATTCACATAAGGACAATATATATAGTTGTGCCCCAAATTATCAAGAGACCAATTCCAATGCAAAAGCAAAGAGTCTTTTATTGTTTAACAAGTTAACTGTCTTAACTTGGGCCCTTCATCCATTCATCATGGTGGATGGCATGAGAAGGACCCCAAGGTGCGGGGTTGGAGGGGGGAGGTAATTGGGCTGTATATGGGGAGTGTCTAGGACAACCTGTCCTGTGTTGATTGGTCAACTGTTTGTTATGGCCTATAGGCCCTCCCAGGGTGGTTGCTATACTCTGCACCCTTATACCACCATAAAGCACAACCAGAGCCTGGCAGCTAACTTCTGATTGGTTCCTTGCCACGTGAAGGGTATCTGACCTCCTAGTAACTGGGAGGACAGACAAGGTCAGGAAGCTCAGTACATTTTGCTGAGTCAGGACATGGCTGCCAAAGCAGGGGACTGGGTGAGGATCTAGTCCCTTCATGTATATATTTTGGTTTTGGTTTTTGGTTTTTCAAGTCAGGGTTTCCCTGTAGCAGTCCTGGCTGTCCTGGAACTTGCTTTGTAGACCAGGCTGGCCTCAAACTCACTGAGATCAGCCTGCCTCTGCTTCTCAAGTGCTGGGATTAAAAGCATGCACCACCACTGCCCATCAGACATAGGTTCCTTAATTAATTTCATATTTTACATGACATGTATATGATTCAACATTAACTTGATGGAGTTGGCAGTTTGTGGATGACAGAAGTGGGAGGAGATGACAATGGAAATGAAGAAATATCAACATTGTGGACAGAGAAAGACTTTCTCCAACTACAGCCTGAACAGCTTTGGGATGTTACGGATGAAAGAGATTTCAAGCACCCTTGTTTGAAACTTAGTTCCTAAATAAGTGAAGGGACCAGCTCCCCATTTCGGCAGCCATGACAGTAACACATGCTTGCCATGACCTTGTCCTAGTCACTAAAAGTCAGATGTCTGCCTCGTGACAAGGAACCAATCAGAAGTTAGCTTGCGGCGCTATGCTTTACGGCTCTGGGTGTGCTTTACGGACAAGTGCACAGCAATGACGTGCAGAGCATAGCAACCACCCTGGGAGGGCCTATGGGCCATAATAACAAATTGGCCAATCAACCCAGGGAAAGCCCTCCAAGCCTGGAGGCACACCAATGCTGTGCCTGAGCATATCCCTAGACACTCCCCTTATGCTGCCCTATAAGATCTCTTTGCAGCCCCTTTGAGCTGTCTTTGCTAGCCATCCACCATGGCGGGTGGGTGAAAGACCCGAGCTAACATGGGGTTAGCTCGTTAAACAACAATAAAGCCTCATGCAGTTTGCAGCAAGCTTTCGAATCTTCCTGGTGATTGGGGTGACCGAGGTCCTGGGCTAAGACCCCGATGCCTGAGTTTTCCGGGGGTCTAACATAAGTTTACAGAGAAGAGGAAGACAGGCCTCCAACAGTGATGTGTTATATAAAAGTAATGATGCATTTTGAGAATTTCATGGTAGGGCAATTCATCTGGAATATAGTTACACAAATTAATATGGCTATGACATCACTAGACAATTTAGTCTTAAGGCATCACAGTCATATATGGTCCAACACTGACTAAAATACTATGCACCAGATGATTGTATATATTAAGAACCTAATATGTCATGCCCTAATCAAAAACCTATATAGCATTATGTTTGAAACTGAACACAACTCTGATGCAGGTAAGATTAATTTCTATACTTCAAAGTGGATTATACTGAGGCTCAGAGAAGTAAAGGAATACAAAGCTCACTTGGCTAATGGACAGAGCTGTAAACTAAGATGAGGTGGAAGGTTCCTGAGGCATGTCTACACAAGACATTGTGGGATACACGAAATGCTCAGCGTTGTCTACAAAGGAAAGGAGACCAGAAGAGGGCAATGGATTCCCCTGCAGTGTAACCTGTGTTTCTTTGGGCCATCCGCTCCCAAATAATGATACAGAAACATTTATTGACTATGAAAACTTGGCCTTGTTAATTATTTTTTTTCCCTAGCAACTTGCCTTTTCTGTCTCCTCAAGAAACAAATGCCTGAGGTTTCCAGTATGGCAGTTAACTGGATGCTTCTCTACTCACACCTCCCGCTGATTGTGAGCCCAGGGACTCCTGACTCCCCCTCCCCCCCCACACACACATTGTCCCATACCCACAGGAAGCAGCCAGACATGAACTGGAGTCCACACACTCAAAGGGACTGGAATGTTGGGCGGCAGCTCCGCCTCAATCCCCACCCCCCATCTCTTTCTCCCCAAACCCTGCCTCATCTCAGAAAGCCCCAAACACAGCCCCTCCCCCAGGGATGCTCAACACCACTCCTACCGGGTGTTTAAACTGCCCCCAGTTTAAAATAGTCATGTGGGGTTTTGGTCTCTCTTCCCCGTTTGCCCTCTGAGGGCCCAGAAGATCATCTGGGAGCATTTTAGGCATTAAACCTGGGCTTTTTCTAATTCGGTTTGATTTGGTCTGATTTGGATTGCTGCGTGGCAGAGAGGCTTCTCAGGGTGCAAAAACTTTTCAGGCCTTAGCTTAGGCTTGTTCCCAACTAGCTCTTAAAAATATAAATTAACCTGTTTATACTGATGTAGGTTGTGACACGTGTTTCCTTAACCTCTCCTCAGTACTGCATGTCCTACTTCCTCTGGGTCTGCTGGAGAATCCCCCTCATCAGACTCTTTCCCAGGATTAATCTGTCTCCCTGGAAGTCCTGCCTATCCTCTCCTGTCTAGGTATTTGCCATACAGATCTTTATTAAACCAACCAGAAGGTGCCTCAGGCAGATGAGGAAGGATAGAGACATATCTTCATCCATTGTACAAAAATATTATCCCAACCCTGGAGCTGGGGTTAAAAATGTTTGTGAGCCACCATGTGTGTTCTGGGGTCTGAACCTGGGCCCACTGGAAGAGTAGCCAGTACTTTTAACTGCTGAGCCATCTATCTATCCCCTCGAAAGTTGCTTCTTCCTGATAAATCATAGCTATTTTTATGGCTTTATTTATATTTTTCATTTATTCTTTATAATCTACTGTTACATGATTTTATTTATTTTTGGTTGAAAGAACAGAATCTGAGTTCCACCTCTGGCTGTGGATGCAGACATGACAGTCTAAACTTCCCCAAAGGGGCATTCTGGTGGAATCACTTCATATTGCCAAGGAAATCAGGGTCCTCTATTGGGGTTCTTAGTTCATTAATAAAAGAATTTAAGAAATAACTCAGAGGCTTGAGGACATTTTTGTTAAAGCTTCAGAGGAATAAAGAAATCCAGGCAGACAAGCTTTAAATACAGGCAGGCAGTTTTCTGGAAGATGGAACAGAGAGAGAGAGAGAGAGAGAGAGAGAGAGAGAGAGGTAACATGAAGACATTATGGAGTAGAGGCCATTGTAGAACTGAAGTCATGGTATGTGATCATTGGAATAAACTGGAGAGACACTGGAAAGGCAGAATCCAAAGGACCTGGCTCTGGGGGCTTAGGGGCATCTTCAAACTGCATGCCTTTGTTAAGTGATCTTTGCTTATCTGAACCTTCATGGATGTATTGGTGTCACCTGGAAGTTAGCAACAATATCTTATTCATTCTTGCATTGTCTAAATATTTAGTTTAGATGGTAGCACATATTGCATTCAATTATGGGGTAAATATTTAAAAGCTAGTTTGTGTATTAGCAGTTGTTGCCAGAATATAGAACTATTTTCAGTTTAGAGGGATTTTATGGTCTAGACTTCATTGTGACTATACTTATTTGAGGATGTAACTATTCTTATCCTGAAGACATTTTCTCCAGAAGCTGAAAAGAAGCACAGAACCAGACATCACCAAAGTAAAAAAAAAAAAAAAAAACAAAAAACAAAACAAACAAAAACAAACAAACAAAAAACAAACAAAAGAGATCAGGTTTGGCAATCCTATGTGCCAGCAACCCCATTGTCCAATTCGTACATGCTGAGAGTTTGAGCCCACCCAATGTCTGCAAATCCTTCTATTTAGGATCTTCTGACCAATCACTGATAAGCAATCTATGTCTAAGTGAGAGAATGAATGATGAACGGAGTCCAGGAAGTATTGCTTTGGATGGCCCAGCTGGAAGCCACTTTCCCACAGCTGTCATGTCGTTCCTCCACACCCCTGCAATAGTTGCTGGCATCTCCACTGTTGTGTCTTCTGAAGTGTTCCTTCCTGATCTACTTCTCCTTGCCTTTCTCCAGCATCCCTAGTCACCTCTGGGTACCCATCCTCTCCTCTCAGTAGAAGGAGGGGCCCTCATATGTAA